AAGTGTTGGTTATTTTCTTCTTCAGGGCCACAGTGGCTCAGCAGCGCACCGTCTACTGGATAAATGTGAGGTCCAACATTTTGCCCAGTGGTAAGTACAGTACAGCAGATTGGCCAACAAAAAAAAAAAAATGCAGAAAATAGTTGTGCATTTTATTCACCAAATATTTTGAATTTTAGAGAACCTGGGTGGTCTCAAGATGGCGACGAATGGAAGTGCAGCAATTGCTGAAAAAAACCTTCTTCTTCTCTTGCTGATGTATTTTTTGGTGATACAGATTCTTGGGTAAACCGCAAACATTTCATCCTATGACTTTTCTTGACTGTTTTTTTTTGCATCACAATGAAAAAAAAAAGACGTTTTCAGTGTTAATTATTTGAACCCAAATAATGTCACACAGATTGAACATATGTTCTTTTTGTGAGGTTTTGCTTAATAAAAAGACTATAGTTATGTCAAGCTGAGATATTATGTTGAAAATCAATAGCAAACATAGAGCTATAATTTGCTTAAAAAAACACTGTTATGGATTCACAAGCAAAAAGTGGGTTATATGTGACATGCAAAGTCTGACTGTGCTGGTTTGTTATTGACTTAATTTCATTTCAAGTATTGAAGAGCTTGTAATGACCTGGTTTTTCCACATGGTTTGTTCGCTAACCTAGATTTCTAGCGTGATTGTGAACACAAACATGAAAGAGGCTTAAAACTTGCATCACATCTGTCTTTCGAAGCTGAACATCCCACATCCTCTGCATCATGCCACTGTTTACTGCTGTTCAATGCACTTGACATCTACTGAGGAAAAAAGGTTAATAAATTTACCTGTGACAAGGACAACATCTGATTCTTTTTTGTTTGTTTGAAAACAATTTTGTTGGAAACAGTTTCACACTTACATCCTACAGATAATTGCAAAATGGCATGTTTCAGTCATACTGAAAGTTTACTAGAAATATTAATATCTTGGATCAGTTTTCAGAATTTCGGCGAAAGGAAAGAGTATTTCTGTTACAGGAAATGCAGAAAGTCAACGTTTGCCATTTTAAGCAGTGAAAACAACCTTGGGTCTGGAACTGAAAAGAAAAAGAAAAACCTGGAGATTCTCGCCCTGAGAAAAAGAAAACGCTCCAGAAGACAAATGGACTTCCTTGGCAATCCCTAGAAGTATGTGTGGAGAAACTTCAACTTTATCTTCTCTACAGTGAAATCTGTGTGTTTGAAAAGATACTGATTTATTCTGATTCGAGAGTGATGAGTAAACATTGAAATTAAATATGCAAATGGAAATGTTTATTTATATAGCTGAAGATCTAAAGTTCAACATATTTGAATTTCTTCCTCTTTTTTACTTTCAAGCAAGTAACATTGTAATAAAAATATATTATGTTACTTGCTACCTCATTGCAGTAAGCTATGTAGGTTGGTTATCTAGTTTTGTGAGGAGCCTTCTGGTGAGTGAGAAAGTTTAAGTTGAATTCATTTTATGGTGCTGCTTCAACAGTACAATATTTTCACAAGAGGCAACCAGAATTTCAAACAGCCCTGATTTTTATGAGACCGTGTAATTGCTGATCAGTTGCTGGTTGCAAGATGTTAATTGCTTTTCGTTACCCCCAGCATACAACAAAATGTGTGACACACGATTAGACCCAGAATTGGCTCAATTACTAAAATTGTTTCACAACAGGAAAATTGCCTAATAATGGGCCAAAAATCACATAGTTTATGACCAGGATCAAGGTTACCAAAGCCGATTCAAATTTGAGTAAAAATGGTCTTTGAATGATTAATTTTGAATGATTTAATTTTTATTCAAATTAAAATATTCTGAAAACCTCACATGCATTTTACCCATCCATGTCTTAAGATTGATAAACTATCAAGAAAAGTCATCTCCAGGCAACAAATACCTAACACTGCCTTTCATCTTTACTTTGTTGACATTCAATGCTGCTTACGTCTCTGTCCAGTGTAACATCGATTTTTCAAGGGTCTCATGTGCCTGCGGTTGCAGCTCCTGTCAGAAAGTACCCGACAGTCAATTATAATTAGTCTCTCTCCTCTGCGTGCTTGCTATTTATCTAACAGGGGCTCCAGCCCAGGCGGAGCACCAGTGTCACCAGCTGGTTCAATAGTAAATGACTCATTGACATATGGAACACTAAGCCAGTGTCGAAGTCACGCTCTTTGTATCCCAAACCACTGATGTCTTTACCTCTAATGACAAAGCATATGGTGCTTTGAAACCAAAAAAAGCTAATTGGTGCAATCAGAAAAAAAAATAACACAACTGGGTATGTTTGCGGCCGATGGAATAAAAAGTGTATATTTTCATTTACTTTTTTAATATATTGCATAAAAGAATATTTTCTGAATCTAAAAAAAAGAGTGTGCATCCAAATCATCATAATGGCACTTACATGTAAATTAATTTCTTCAGTTTTGAAAATTGTTGTTTTTCTTAAATGTTTTTCACCACCACTGCTTCGACGCTGTCATAATCTCTTCTTTGCTGAGGCATGTTTCAAGTGTTGATACGAAGTGTTGCATTTAATATACAAGCACAGATAGTACACTGACTGATTTTATTTGTCACCTTCTACATCTGTGAGATTTTCACAAATGTAAATCCCACAAATAGAAAATAGAAACTTTTATTAGTACACACCAAACTACTGGTGTTTTTTCAGCCTCTTTCAAAAAAAAAAAAAAAATGTAACACATTTTAACCATAAAATACTTTTCTCCAATAGTTTCTATATAAAATCTAATCAAGTAACAAAAAATTTTCTACAGTCTCTTTGTATTCCTACATTTGATACAACTGACAGTAATATGTGTTTACAGGGGCTTGGACCCAGCCTGACCATTGCTTTCCAACACAATTTGGCTTGATTCTTACCTCCCTGCAGTACTTCATATGGGATTTGTCTCATTGAGTCTAATTTACCAGAATGCATTTCATACTGGACATTTATCAAACAGAAGGAGACGTTGGAAACGATGAAGCCAGGTTTCTACGTTCTTTGTCCTCCTGTGGTTGCAGTTTGGTAATAGCAGAGGAGGAGGTGAACAAAGCCTTTCTGTCAGTGTTGGGTAAGATAACATCCTCTGTACAAAGCAAAGTGCAAAACAAGAGCCTGGTTTTTACCTCTGGTAGTGTTGCGTTTCTGTGCCAGTCACCAGCAACTCACAAGCTGCCCCAAATGGGCAAGTGACACTGAGAACAGAACAACTCTCAGCTTTGTACTTTACACATTAGTGGACACAGTGGAATCAGCAGTGCCCGCTGAAGCTGCAGGATGTCAGTAGCAGCAAACCAGGGAGAGGAACATACATGCATGCAGTGCTTCAGCCCAAGAGGACTTTGTCTGAATTCACATTTGCCCCATGGTTAGACAGCATGGGCTGAAAGTGTACTGTTCTGCTGATGATGCTCAGATCAAAAAAGCATGATGAGCTAAATCTATTAAAAATTCAAAGGTCTGAACAACTAATTTCCTACCACCAAACTCATACAAAACTAGTCTTTCAACAGCAGTGTGAGGAACACTGATTGACCAGTTTTTATTATTTTAAATAATAATTGTAAAATACATTATTTATAAGTGCAACTGTGTTTGGTTGTGTCCTCCCAATCCCTTGCTGAGGATTTAGATGGTCACTCAACCTGAGTCTGGTTCTGCTGGTGTTTTATTTGTTTATAGATAGTTGCCCCTCCCCACTGTCACATTTTACTTACAGACAGTGGAAAAGAACCAGGATTTTATGCACTTGGTTTTCTTCTTTATTTTTTTACTGACTGACCAGAATCAGATTTTTTTAAAATATAGTTAGACTTTGACTGAATTGGATAATTTTAGCAACATTTGACTCAAATCCAGATCAATTTGAATTAGGCTTGTGTGTGTTTGTGTTTCATGCCCAGTGCCGTAATGTTACATGTTTTTAACATTTTAGCACTACACGTTGAATAAAACACAGCTGAATAGCAGGTCTTTATGTGCAGCAGCAAAAAGATTTATTGATGCATAATTCCCAGCTGAAATGTAAACATAAACACAGCAGCTGTGACCGGCTCAGTGGAAGTGGCGACATTAATCCCTAAACATTCATCCGTCCATCTACTTTTTGATAAGCGGTGCACAAGCATGTACAACACTAGGAACAAAATGCTGAGGCGTAAAATCACACACGTGCAAAAACAACACATAGCACATTTACAGCCAGTTTGTAACGTAAGTTTTCTTTTTTCCAAGACAGATCAAACACTCAACCATATGCATGACCACTGTCCAGATTAAAACATCTTCTTGCTTTAGGGGCTTAGTTGACATCTCTGTTTGAGCTCCACATTCTTTGTCTCCCTCTGTTTTCTTCCAGCATGAAAAGCACAGACCAACCAAAGGGCTTTTTCTTTTTCTTTTTTTTTTTAACATTTGTAACAGTTTTACAATTAATATTGTAGAGTTTGTTCATGTTTATTCAAAAGGGGATTCAATGGAAATTCCAGATATAAAAAAAAGCCACTGTGTAATTAAATAAGATTAATGTGAAAATATAGATGTATTTACTGTCTTTAACATATATTGTTAACTAACTGAAACATATTCGCTGAGCATTAAGACAATGGAGGTAATGTAGTTTATTTATCACTTTATTTATAGCTTTTCAGATGTACGTGGTTCGTTTGAAAACAATCTACTTTACCATATGCGACAAGCTAAGCCTCTCCGTCTTGTCATTCTTTGCCAATAAGTGATTCTGAGTCTCACTCTTAGTGCAATCACATATCCTTGTGTTCACATGTCCACTTCACTGGTGAGAATCAGTAAAGTACAAATAACACACCACAATAACAATATGTCTGACATACTTCTGAGCTTATCTGGCTGTTAATATGTGTTGTGAATGCCATGTTATGTAAGAATGTGGTAGTTAAAGGGTTAGAGCTCAGGGCCGGGCCATATTACTTGGCAGCGGGGGTGGGAGACTGAATGATGTGAGAAAGAGAGCGAACTGCATCCCAGAGCAACACGGGACAGCGGAGGAGATGAACAGATAGAAAGAGACGAGAGGTTAGAAGTCACTGATTTAAGAGATAACCAACGTCAAGCCACTGACTCACAGCTGGGAACACAGCCGGGTGTGATAGCTGAAGAGGTTGCAGGCAAACACTGACTGGACTGACTGTGACATTGTGAGCGAGGGTCGGCTTTATTGTGCTGGAATGAAATAATAATTTTAGTTCACGCAGTATCAACAGGAAACACTGGTGGACTACGCGTGGAAGATCAGCTTTTGAACTGCGGAGTAAAATAGGATTAAGAAAGTGGAGGCTACAGGTTTGGAGAGTATGGGGGCTTCATTTCACATCCAGCATGAAATGGCTTCATCAGTTTGGCAACAAATATAGTGCAGAAAACTTTGGCTAAATTTAGCTAATTCTGGACAGATGGAATAGAATGGGAGCAACCTGTGTGATTGAAAAATAATTCAAGTAAACTAAAAATTGGGACTTCAGGATGTCATATATCTCCACCGATACTAAAGCCATGGAGGCTCAACAGTGGCAGAAAGAATGGGATTACCAACTAATACATACCCTCAGGTTGGAAATCCTGCCAAGGTGTTTGAATCATGCGGTCCACTGAGAGCATGGAGCCCGAGGAAGTGCACAGCAAGAGAAGCTTGTATAGCAAGGTTGATGTGCCCGACCATGCTCACTATGTTGTCGCTTTCTTCGTCTTTGTGATTGGGGCACTTGGCATCATTGGGAATACCCTGGTTATGTTTGCTTTCTACAGGTGAGTCAGAAAGCGGTTCTTTAATGTTTATTTATTTTTTTACTTTAAGATTCCCATTCCACTTTTATAGCCCAACATTACGTTTTAAAATGTAAATTATCATTCTAAAAAGTCCAACAGAGGTCAGAGAGCGCATGTCTTGGAGACATATTAAGCTGGGACATCTTTTCCCTGCTAAGATGGATCTACTACTGTTATGACCCAAAACAATACAGAATTAGCAGGCTACTGCCTTCATAAAAGGCTTAGTGAATTTGTGATGAGTTCATTTTTATTTGGATAAAATAGGTATCAAGAATTCAGAAAAGAGAATTTTGATCAATTTGGTTATCATAACAGATCAGACAAGACAGAAAATATTGTTATTCAATTTTGTATAGGTTTCCAGAAAGCTGGCAGTTATTCATATGTAGCCTCTTCATTCTTCAATCTGTAATGTATAACAACTAAAATAATTGGAACAGCAGCATATTTTATTCAACGGGCCAAGAGCCATTAATTGCAATATAGTATTTAACCACAAACAAATGAACAAAAAGCTTGAAAAAAATATTCATCTGGTCTATCATTTAAATGTAAATACATGTTTCTTATCTAAATGTGACATGATTGTCCACAATAACTGCAGTAACACTGAATTTCGCTTTTAACAGGTTTAAATTACACTTACAAACTTTCATTTTACTGAAGTTTTAAAATAAAAATGTGAAGGCTCAAAGAAGATTTTGTGCCACACATGAATTAAAATTGCATTAAAATACCCAACACATTTATAAACTTTGAATCTGTTAAGCATTAGCAATTTTAACAAAGTATTAACTGTTCAAAAATGAGTTTTTCCCCCCATAGCACAAGTGCACAAAATATCTGGAACAGGCCATTACTTTTACTTAGTTACTTAAATTATGGATGTGCCCTACGTATAGTCATATTTAGGTGAGTTTTTTTTATTTTTTATTTTTAATTTGATGCGTCATTCTCAGAGATGAGTCATTCTTGAAGTTAAAGTTAAGTTTCTGTTGGAAGTCCTGGAGGGAGTATGTGCATTACATGCCATATAATCTGGAGAAACATTGTCATTTGGGCTACTGATGTTAACTGTTCCACAGAAACTGGGTCAGTGTGTGTGTCTCTGTGTGAGGTTGGACGTGTGTGCGTTCTTGTGCGTGCGTGCGTGCGTGGGTGTGTGTGTGTGTGTGTGTCGTGGGGATTGTCAGGAGCTCTCATATTCCATCTGTCTATAAACGCACAAGATTAGACTCTTAATTTTGTTGTGCAGACATTTTGAGTTCTAACAATCACAAATGCACATCATGTGCATGATGATCACATCTTTTTACCTATAAACAATTTTTAACTTATAAAGAGGCAATTTTGTTATGCTTATACATTAAACACACATTTTGTTACACAGGAAAAGAGGTGATACAGTTAATAATTAAATTTCTTATGGATACTTATGTATGTACTGACTGAAATTCACACAATTTAAAAATTCAAATGTTAACATCTGTAATATGACTAATCCTAATTGTATAACAGTTCTAGCTGGAGACCCATAAGTTTATTTAAAATTTTTTGTGAGTATAGAGCTGGGAAAGCAAACTTTAAATCATCTTGTGTTATCCACTTTTCAGGTTATCATCATTTCTACAGTACTGTGCTCAACATGAGAGCTTTCTAATTCGGGCCCAATCACCATCTCTTTAAAACACTATTGAACATTGTTTCAGATATTTAATCATAAAGAGGAAGATTAGTCAGACATAAAAATAATTTTAGATTCTGATTTTAAAAAATGAACAAACCAAAAAGTACGTTCAAAGATTATTTGAACGTACTTTATTTTTCTTGTTTAAAAAATAAATTAGATGGCAATCTGCTGCAACCTGAATTTATAACTCTGTTAAAAGATCTGGATAAATATATAATATATAAAATTTTGGAGGTAAAAAAAAAAAATATTTGGATGCTACACTTGGGAGACCCTGTAAGCAGGCTGAAGAACAACCATGCAAAACATGACTGTCTCAGAATTACTTACAACTTTTCTTACTCAACAAGTTTTTGTGGAGTTTTTATTTTTAGGAACACTGAAAACATTTCCACTTGTTTGCATGATTTCAATAAAGTTGGCGATAGCCTGCTCATTTTTAAATTTAAGAAGGATGACCTAATTTGATAATGTCTTATTATGTAAGGAGTATTTGTGATATATTGGGCAGTCCATATGTGGTTCAGACAAGTTTGATTTACATGCTTATATTCATTTTGATATAACTTGATGAATGTCTTGGTTGCATAAACTGATTTATTAAATTTGAAAAGCAAAATTAAGCATCTCTTTTAAAGATGTTTACTACTTTAAAAGACAAGAAGTTCCAGCAGCTACAGCTATTTTGCCATACAGGTACAAGTTTTCATAGTTATGTTACGGTTACTAAAATGCATTAGTTATTAAGGAGAATGTGCAATTGTGCTACATAAAGGATGAACATTTCTGCTGGGCAGTGTTTGCAGGTCACACTCTGAAGCAGCAGCACATCCAAGAACTCCTCTTCAAGGAGGAGGACTAACGCCAACTCTGACAAATGCCTGTGGAAATTCAGTCAGACAAGTGATGTAATTCTTCAACTGAGGCAGTTACAAAAAACACACTGTCCATCCTCGAAGGTCAAAAGTGACAGACGGTTGAAGACACACTTCACAACTTCCCCCTAACTCAAAACGTTTTGTTTTATTTTGGGGGAACATTTGGATTATTCTTTAAAGTTTCTTTTCTATTTTAAGTTACTCAAGAATAAGACAATCGTTTGGGTCATATTTTCAGCAGTAGACAGTAAGTTTTACATTTTGGTTAATAAAAAATTAAATTATGTAGAATCTCCAAACAGTTACTATGATATGAGATGGGATTCATCACCTGCTAAAACATAACAGATAAAACTAGCTCAGGTTTATGACAAAACACTCCACATCCATCCATCCATCCATCCATCCATCCATCCATCCATCCATCCATCCATCCATCCATCCATCCATCCATCCATCCATCCATCCATCATCCATCCATCCATCCATCCATCCATCCATCCATCCATCCATCCATCCATCCATCCATCCATCCATCCATCCATCCATCCATCCATCCATTTTTTTATTAAGAACCAAGAAGTTTAAGAAGTTGGCTTTTTTGAGCCTTTTTAATCTGAAGATGCTTTTATTTTTATTTAATTTGTTCAATTTAGGACATGGTCATCACACAATAACTAATCTGCTCATAAAATTAGCAAATAGCCACTACAACTAGAATTTCCAACATTACATTACTTTTCTCAGAACGTTCCCCTTTTCCCTGTTTTTGTGTTTAAACAGCAACAAGAAGCTCCGCAAACTCCCGAACTACTTCATTATGAACTTGGCGGTGAGCGACTTCCTGATGGCTTTCACACAGTCGCCCATCTTCTTTGTCAACTGCATCTACAAGGAATGGATGTTTGGAGACATTGGCGAGTTTGATTTTTACTTTGAAAAAAACGTCTTTAAATTGAAGTGTCGGAGAGGCATTTATTCAGCCATTATTTATTGTACTTATTTTTATTTTTTCTTTTATTGTAGGCTGTAAAATCTATGCTTTCTGTGGTGCCCTTTTTGGCATTTCTTCCATGATTAACCTTCTGGCCATATCGATTGAACGGTATCTGGCCATCACCAGACCACTGCGGACCATACAGTGGGGTTCTAAACGAAAAATGATTTTTGCCATCTTTCTCATCTGGTCTTATTCTTTGGCTTGGAGTCTGGCTCCTCTTGTTGGCTGGAGTAAGTAGGAAAATGTACAGCTTTGAGAAAATTTCACCTTATTACTCATGTTTTACTGTAACACACATAGTTTGTTTACCAGCTCAGCGAATCTGACAAAGATTATTTAATCCTAAAATTTTCATTACTGTCACACAAATTTCAAAGAAAGGACTCTATCATAATTCCACCTATTCTCTTGCTACACTATGCAGACGCTTTGTCTGCTGGAATGAAATTTTGAACTGATAGCATCCAACTTATTTTCTAATTATTTCCCCAGTTAAGCAGAACTAATAGGACATTTAATATTAATATCTATAAAGTCAGTTACTCCTGAAATATGGAAAACATATTAATGAGACACTGAAATCACAGCAAAATATACTTTCCTGATGCACATAAACAATGAATTTCACACCTTTTATCCCAATACATACTGTGTGAAATAAGGGTGCATCAAAATTAACATACATACAGTCAGAGAATTCAATAAATAGCAGCTTTAGGGAAAAAAAATAATATTCAAATCTCATTAAACTGTCAAAACTGACTCTAGTAGAAATGAAGATGCTCTTCTAATTACATATAGACTTAAGGAAATTTGTACATGTGCTTGTTTACCTTTAGAAAACCCTTTGTCAGGTTCTGTGTTTTTCTGTGTTTAATTCTGAGTTTCTGTGTCCTGAGTTCTCCTCGTTGTCCTGTCTTCCCCTTGATTGTTCCCAGGTGTGTCTTGTTCTCCTGATTACCCTCAGTGTATTTAGTCCCTCCTGTGTCCTTTGTTCCTCGTCGGGTCCTTGTCGTTGTTTGTCAGTTTGTCGTTGTCGTACTTTTGCCTTGGTCTGCCGTTTTGTGTTGTTTAGCCGCCTGTAAGACCAGTTGCTACCGGCGTTGAGCCCTGGCTTCCGCTCAGCCGTGCTGCCTGGCCGCGGACTCCGTTTATTGACTGTGTTTTTGTGGACTATTTTGTTATTAAATTACACCACCGTTCATCTACCTGGGTCTCCAGCGTCGGCCTCACCACCTCCACCACCACCAATTCATGACAGAAGGACCCGACCAGGAATACGGTGAGGCTCGCAGAATCAGATCATGGACCCAGAGGGTTTAGAGGAGCTACTCCGTACTATCCGCGAGTATGAGGAGGCAAAGAGTACGTCCACGTTCGCCCTGAGACGGCCAGGGTTCGCGATACGCCTGTGCCTGCTACTGGACTATTGGGTTCCTCGTCTCCCGCACCCCGCGCTGGTGGAGCTGCAGCGGGAGGTAGAGGAGATACGCCGGAGAGCCTTTGCGGCCTGGGATGCTAAACCTCTGCCTCCCAGCCACTGCTCCGCCAGCCCAGCCCCCAGCCTCTGCTCCTCGTGCTGCTCCGCCGGACCCCGCTCCGGCTGCCGTTCCTGCTCCGCCGGACCCCGCTCCGGCTGCCGCTCCTGTTCCGCCGGACCCCGCTCCGGCTGCCGCTCCTGTTCCGCCGGACCCCGCTCCGGCTGCCGCTCCTGTTCCGCCGGACCCCGCTCCGGCTGCCGCTCCTGTTCCGCCGGACCCCGCTCCGGCTGCCGCTCCTGCTCCGCCGGACCCCGCTCCGGCTGCCGCTCCTGCTCCGCCGGACCCCGCTCCGGCTGCCGCTCCTGCTCCGCCGGACCCCGCTCCGGCTGCCGCTCCTGCTCCGCCGGACCCCGCTCCGGCTGCCGCTCCTGCTCCGCCGGACCCCTCCGGCTTCGGCTCCTGCTCCGCCGGATTCCGCTCCGGCTTCGGCTCCTGCCCGCCGGATTCCGCTCCGGCTCCTGCTCCGCCGGATTCCGCCGGCTTCGGCTCCTGCTCCGCCGGATTCCGCTCCGGCTTCGGCTCCTGCTCCGCCGGACCCCGCTCCGGCTGCCGCTCCTGCTCCGCCGGACCCCGCTCCGGCTTCGGCTCCTGCTCCGCCGGACCCCGCTCCGGCTTCGGCTCCTGCTCCGCCGGATTCCGCTCCGGCTCCTGCTCCGCCGGATTCCGCTCCGGCCTCCGTGGACTCTGCTCCTCGTGCCGCTGCTCCGGCAGCCTCTATCCCTAGTGCTCCTTCCGAGATCCCTAGTGCTCCTCCCGAGATCCCTAGTGCTCCTCCCGAGATCCCTAGTGCTCCTCCCGAGATCCCTAGTGCTCCTCCCGAGATCCCTAGTGCTCCTCCCGAGATCCCTAGTGCTCCTCCCGAGATCCCTAGTGCTCCTCCCGAGATCCCTAGTGCTCCTCCCGAGATCCCTAGTGCTCCTCCCGAGATCCCTAGTGCTCCTCCCGAGATCCCTAGTGCTCCTCCCGAGATCCCCAGTGCTCCTCCCGAGACTCCCAGTGCTCCTCCCGAGACTCCCAGTGCTCCTCCCGAGACTCCCAGTGCTCCTCCCGAGTCCCCTAGTGCTCCTCCGTGTCCCCTAGTGCTCCTCCAGTGTCCCCTAGTGCTCCTCCCGTGTCCCCTAGTGCTCCTCCCGAGATCCCTAGTGCTCCTCCCGAGATCCCTAGTGCTCCTCCCGAGATCCCTAGTGCTCCTCCCGAGATCCTAGTCTCCTCCCGAGATCCCTAGTGCTCCTCCCGAGATCCCTAGTGCTCCTCCCGAGATCCCTAGTGCTCCTCCCGAGATCCCTAGTGCTCCTCCCGAGATCCCTAGTGCTCCTCCCGAGATCCCCAGTGCTCCTCCCGAGACTCCCAGTGCCCTCCCGAGACTCCCAGTGCTCCTCCCGAGACTCCCAGTGCTCCTCCGAGTCCCCTAGTGCTCCTCCCGTGTCCCCTAGTGCTCCTCCAGTGTCCCCTAGTGCTCCTCCCGAGTCCCCTAGTGCTCCTCCCGAGTCCCTAGTGCTCCTCCCGAGTCCCCTAGTGCTCCTCCCGAGTCCCCTAGTGCTCCTCCCGAGTCCCCTAGTGCTCCTCCCGAGTCCCCTAGTGCTCCTCCCGAGTCCCCTAGTGCTCCTCCCGAGTCCCCTAGCGCTCCTCCCGAGTCCCCTAGCTCTCCCGAGTCCCCTAGTGCTCCTTGGCGCCGAGGACGCCCTCCGGACCTCCCCCGTGGGGTCTGCCGCGGGCGCCGAGGACGCCCTCCGGACCTCCCCCGTGGGGTCTGCCGCGGGCGCCGAGGACGCCCTCCGGACCCCCCTCGACGCCTCTGCCCTCTTTCTGTTTAGTTTTGGACTCTTGGCCCCTCCTTGTGTTTCCGCCCACCTTTTGTGGTAGTTTTTTGTTTTCTGGACTCTGGCCCTCCTTCCGTCGCCCCTCCGCCCACCCTGGTTTTTGGGTTTTGGATTTTGTTTTTGGGCGTCTGGTAGCCGCCCTTTAAGGGGGGGTACTGTCAGGTTCTGTGTTTTTCTGTGTTTAATTCTGAGTTTCTGTGTCCTGAGTTCTCCTCGTTGTCCTGTCTTCCCCTTGATTGTTCCCAGGTGTGTCTTGTTCTCCTGATTACCCTCAGTGTATTTAGTCCCTCCTGTGTCCTTTGTTCCTCGTCGGGTCCTTGTCGTTGTTTGTCAGTTTGTCGTTGTCGTACTTTTGCCTTGGTCTGCCGTTTTGTGTTGTTTAGCCGCCTGTAAGACCAGTTGCTACCGGCGTTGAGCCCTGGCTTCCGCTCAGCCGTGCTGCCTGGCCGCGGACTCCGTTTATTGACTGTGTTTTTGTGGACTATTTTGTTATTAAATTACACCACCGTTCATCTACCTGGGTCTCCAGCGTCGGCCTCACCACCTCCACCACCACACGTCATGACACCCTTTAGAAAAGTTTGAAAAATTTAGAAAAATTTTGTATCTAACAGACGGTAATTCATCGACCTAAAGGAACACAATCAAATTGATCTTGCTTTCTCTGAATATTCATCTGATGCTCCTTTGACCCTGTAGGCTCCTATATTCCAGAGGGACTGATGACATCTTGCACATGGGATTATGTTACATATACAACAGCTAATAGGAGCTACACCATGATGCTCTGCTGTTTTGTCTTTTTTATACCACTCGGAATCATCTTTTTCTGCTATCTTCGAATGTTTCTATCTATCCGAAAGACTGGCAGGTACTGTAACATAAATATGTTCACATACATGTTTATGTATTGTAAAAAAAAAATTGATCATCACAAAAACTACCTGCATTTTGACTTAACAGCTTATTTTGTCCTTCATTTTCAGAGAGGTTGAACGTTTGGGCACTCAGGTCAGAAAAACCACTCTTATCCAACAAAAGTCCATCAGGAGTGAGTGGAAATTGGCAAAGATTGCCTTTGTTGTCATTGTGGTATATGTCCTCTCCTGGTCACCGTACGCCTGTGTCACATTGATTTCCTGGGCTGGGTAAGATCAATTTATTGATTTTTTAAAAAAGGTTTTGGAGCTGTAGGGAATGAATTGTTCACAATAGTCAACCAATTTCACAGATTTCTTATTTAGGACGCTAGTAAGAAAAATGTTCAGTAGATTTAAAAACAAAGGCAGTCGAAAGTAGAAATTAATGTTGCATTGCAATGTCTGGGATTACATATACTCCACACACGAATGAAAGAAGAACAGAGAAAAACATTCAACATTTTTTATTTATTTTTTTTATCTAAGACATTAAAGTACAGTGCAAGAGATTTTCCAGTAATTCCTGCTTATATTAGAGGAACAGAGCTGCAATGTAATATATATATAATCCACAACATCAAAAGAGTGTTTTCGAGTCACTTGTAATGAACAGCTGCATTGCATGCAAAGCCTGTTTTTTTATTTTTTATTTTTTTTTAATGCATTAATTTTGCTGGTAACACTTATGAGAGAGCATTCTATAATTATAGAAGAAAATATCACACATTCTCAATATTGGAATAACAACAAGTTGGATTCACAGAGATAACTTTTCAGTCTTTTACAATCAAGCCAAATCAGAGAATACATTTTAACAGCAAATGAGGAAGCTGTATTGTGGTGCAAGAACATATTAAAACATCCATTACAGAGATTACAAAAATCAGCTGTCACAGGCATTTTGCTAAGAGTTATTTCACTGGGAATGAAGGAGATTTCTGAAGCAGGTTTTTGATGAGTCATTACATGTTACTGTGTCACCAGGAAGCAAAGTACATGAGCTAAGTTGAAGATTTTGAATCTGCACTTTTGTGTTCCTATTCTTATCCCAACCTTCAGTAAGCCTCTTGTACCTTTGGCTAAATGTTGGATTAAAATGAAGTAGTTTTAGTCTGAAATCACATCTTTTTTTCCCGGTTATTCTCTGGGGACAGTGCCCTATGCATGCAAACATACAAACACATCTAAGCACTTGAGCAAACATGATCAGATGGATTTAAGCAACCGCCCCTAGCAGATGGCAGAAGTTAATCTCTACCCAGATATGACTCCTCATTATGTCACAAAACAGAAAAATCAGAGGGATCTCTGAGTTTTGATGTGATATTATATTTTCACCAGAAAAGCATAACAAACAGCTGCAAATATCTAAATGAACTAGAATTATGTTTGCATTTCACAGAGAGAAAGTTTAAATGTGTTTTCTTTTGTCTCATTCAGCTATGCCAACATTTTATCGCCATACTCCAAGGCTGTCCCTGCAGTCATTGCAAAAGCATCCACAATCTATAACCCCATCATCTATGCCATTATACACAACAAATACAGGTAACCAGTAAAGAAGCTTTGTTATTGACTGCCCTTTTATGTACTTATTGTTACAGGATTGCAAAAATTGTCATTTTCTCACTCTAGAATAGCTAGAAACAAGTGTGAAAAGACACCCACATTAAATCAGCCCCCAGTTTTAGGTCAGTTAGGATTAACAAAATAATTTTTATGTGGTAAATGTTACTCAAATAAATGAGATCATTTTTTTGTATCTGAAAAGAATGAAATACTTTGGTACCTTTCCACAAGCTTCTCACCAAAGTTTACTGAAGTTCTGGGCCCTTCCTCCTGCAGAACTGGTGTAAATGAGTCAGGTTTGTAAAATTCGTGTAGAAAGACCTTCAGGCAGGATTTGAACCAAAGACCAGTTGTTGCTGTGTTGCATCTCCTTCTTCAGCAGCATGAAGACTTAACCTTTTTGAAGTGTTGGTGTTTGCGTAAACTTTTGAACAGATGAACATAGAGTCCTCGGGAATCTGGAAAATATACCAGATTCTGAAATCAATCAAGATTTCTTGAGAGTTTCCCATGAAGTCAGAGAGGGAAACTGTGTCTGTGTTAATGTCCCAAAATAAATCCACAGAATACACTTTTAACATATACATGGTGTGAATTAGATTCCTTCAAAGTCGTTACATCAGCATCCAGGCTTTCCAAAATTGCTCAAAGATATAGTGGTTTTATCTAAGTGTATGTAAATTTCCGACTTAAAAGAAAATAAAGAATAGTTTAGAAATTTTCTGATCATTTTGGTGATCACAACTGACCAAAAATAGATTTTTTCACTTGCATTAGTGAGAGAGAGGAAAAGGTTAACTTTAGTTGTATGCACTGCATACAATATCTAGTTTCAATACGATGTACCTAATGTGCGATGTATTCTCAAACTCAACAGGATGACTCTGGCAGAAAAGGTGCCCTGTCTGTGGTTTTTGTTTCCGGCTCCCAGAAAGGAATGCCTGTCCTATTCCATCAGCGAATCCTCTCTGAGGGACTCCATCATCAGCAGACAGTCCAACGCTTCACGCACTCATTTTATCAATGCTTTGCCCAACCGCTTTGATACGGTAACGATGCACACATCTCTACATTTGCCCACAATTATGAGTTTTATTGCCTTGAATCATTTAGCATGCTTTTTAGCAATTTCCATTGTCTTGATTGCAAGATTTTCATTACTGGATAATGACAGTACTTATTTTTTTTTCTATTTTATACTAAAAGATACTTTAGGTATTTTCCTACAGCTGTTTTTACTAAGCACATGCAATATTTTTCCAAAGCTTTAGTAGAAGAAAACCTTTTGACAATTTTTAACAGATGTTGAAGGATATGGAGAAAGAACATCTGGGGAGGAAATCAGGATGTTCCTTCAAAAACATGTCATCATACAGGCAGTCAGACAGAGGCAGGTCCTATAAGAGGCCATCTGAGCAGAAAATAAATAAATACACACCAGAGCAGGTGAGATAATGCAAGTTAGTTATTTATTACTTTGTTTTGAATATCAATGCTCTGGCAAAACTCAAATCTAACACATCATTTTTCTTTATTATGTCCATATGTACAGCAACCACCTACTATAAGTGACCCACTTAGCACCTGCGACCCTGACCTGGTTTCCAGCTCTCTGACTATTGCAACTCTACCATTACTCGTTCTTACCAGGAGGCGCAGTGAGAGTGTAACCGATGAGATTTCAAACACATGCAATGACAAAAACAACATCAGGGATCGACTGCACAGCCAGAAGAGCAGCTCTTTTGATTCTCTGAATCTTGGGAAAAAACCCTACGCTGAACCAAAGTCTCCCCAGAGTGTTCCTCGTATAATTGTCATCAGTCCCACCTCTGAAAGCAGCATCATCAGCTCCAATAGTGTCCGATTTGAAGATAACATCGAGGCAATGGAAAACAATGTCTTTGTTAGTCTGAACTTTTCAACAGAAGTATTCGAGGCAGTGAAACTACTCTCTTGACCAGCTGGAAATATGTTTGCTTTGGACAATCAAATGGACAGAGGTCAACGTCCCATACTTTTTCCCGGCATGTTGAATTGTCCTGCTTGTGACTTTTACCACAGATACTGCAGAGCAGAAGAAAATCTGTGAGATTAAGCAAGATAAAGTTCTCTGGCTTGGAAAGATTCACGTAAAAAGGCATTTTGCATGTTTTTTTTTTTTTTCTTGAGTTCTCTCACAAAAAAACAACTGCGTTATTCTTTTAAAAAAACTTGATGTGCCACACAAAAAACTTGTCTGGACTGAAAAAAATCCTCAATATATTGTCCTACTATTTTTTTTTTAATGAAATCAGACAATGCAGCACAAATGCTGAAAATCAGACAAGAAGAGTGGAGATATAGATACAATATCTTTGTTTCCCTTTATTCCTTAAAATCAATAAGAAACTGAAGGAAAGCAAAACAATATCATGTTCTAACTGTGTCTTTGAAGCTCAGATATTCATTTTTTACCTTGTGCTAGCTTCTTTAGGCCACATGGACCAGATTTATGCTGGCAAAAATTCAGCAGTGTAATGAAAAGTGAAGTAGTTCAAACCCTCAGGAAAGGTAGGTTATCTCCCATAACACCATGATATTTCTCTCCACGCTCACTCTTCTGATACTGCTCTGTTGTAGTTGGTCATTCTGAAACAGTGGCAACAACGTAAATCATTTGAGATGTAATTTGCTGAGATGTAAGCACATCAAAACGTCATTAATTTCATAACTGGGATTGAATTGTAATGTAGGTGACAGAATATTAACCTGAGTTGGAATAAATTCAGGACATACATATTTCTGTATATAAACTGGCTTTTTTTATAGTGGCCAATATTGGCCAATACAAGGCTGGTAATATCCTACAAGAAAGGTGAATACCAAAATGTCCTTGTTAAAGAACTTGGTCGTTCACAGAGTTGTAGATCCAAATATATTAATAGGAAATTATTTGGAAGACAAATAACCTACAGTATTGAGTGGAACACAGAAACCCCAGAACCTATTTGCAACAACTGAACAATAAAGTGAATAAACACAAAACCTAAAAAAAAAAATTGTAAAAGCTTTGGTTTGGATAAGGATACTGTATATTTTTATGAATCAATAATTTTTAGCAAACTGTTTTAGCCATTATTACATCTTGTTGAGGCCTGTTTCTATGTACACCACAGCTTATTTTCTTTCCAATCTCTGTAGATTTAAAGTCAGAAGATGAAATTATTGTATATTTTGCAAAACGTACATGGGTTCATGAGAAACACGACATCTTACCTTACATAGTTTGACAGTATTTTTTCATATCAGTGTCAATGTTACTCTTTCCATGTAGATTTTAATTCCACCTGTTTACCATCTGTTCTTTAGATCAATGTTTCCTACAATTTATTCTGCAATTTACTGTAGATAAGTTGTTTAAAGATTCAAATGTCATATGTTCTTCTTTGTTTCTTATTGTTTCTTCGTTTTCTCATTTTTAAAAATGTAAATAAATATCAATATATATACACAGACAATATCTATATTGTCTACATATTGTCAACCAAAGAATGCTCCAAGGACCTAATGAAAACTATTTTCAGACAAAAATTATATGGTTAATAAACTTGTTTTGAATTCCATTCTCGTCTTTAATTGTTGCCAAAAGGTGATGCAAAAATATTGTGTGCAATGTCAAGCCATGTTTGTTGCTGAAAATATAATATTAGCACTAAACACAGAAGTGAACCAAGGAGGTCAGCGAACAATGAAAGACTTGTCACAACCAATAATTTCCAGGCTGAACAGAATATGGCTACAAAAGAATGTTCCAATTAGTCAGCAGTAAAATTGTCTCTGAAGCCATGTGCAAACCAAAGATGGATTTTTTGCATATTTAATATAATCACAGTGTTCAAAAGGAGAAATGAAAGACAAATTTAGCATTTTTGATCACTGAAAATGTTTTGCTCTTCAAGGATAACTAATATAAACTTTGTTTTGATTTGAGATTTGCAGAGACAGAAATATTGGAAAATTTTGCTTCCATCCAGATGTGCACTTACCTACCAAATCCACTTTGCTCTTTTCTGGGTCAACGGGGGCTAACGCCATTCCTGAGTGGGAGGGGTGATACTTATTTAACAGGTCAACAGTCCATTTCACGGTCAAGACAAAAACAGATGAGATAACCAAATGTGTTAAGTTCACATCCATTAAAGGGACTTGACTTCTTATGGGTATTTTTGGACTGTGGGTGGGAGCGGTTGTAAGTGCAGATGAGTGAAAGTGACTGAACAATTTGAATGGTCAGTCGGACTAGAAAAGCCTCTCAACAAAACATTTTCAGAGGCAAGACAACACAACTTTATTTATGTAGCACATTTCAGCCAGAGGAAAAGTCAAGTTAAATTTATTTGAATATCACATTTTAGCAACAGGGGAAATTCAAAGTGCTTTACATAATGAAAACATGAAGCAATGAACAGAAGGATGCATAAATTTTCAGAATCTCTATCAAAAAATAACTGGACAAAGTTTTTTTAAACATACTATTCTCAGAACACATTTCTTTAAATAGTGTAGCACTTGATCATATTAACCTGGTTGGAAATAATGATAGCAAATGGCCAGCAGAGGGAGGTAGAGAACAACTTTCAGAATTGAGCGTTTTTTCTGAGCTTTTCTATTTTCCCTCCTTATCACTCAGAAAAACAACAAACCAAACCAAATGTTGAAACAAAAAAAATGTTAACTAGTTAAATGAGTACACACAATCAAGTACATATGGTCACAAAAACAACATCAGTGAATACATAATATTACATTTTTTGACAATATCAGTTAAATGGAAACTGAAGTGCAATATTTTTTTTTCTATTATGTCTACTAACCTTGCCTAAATTGTTGGTGGTAGACTCACTGTATTAATGAATCAAGATACTGCTGGCAAGTTTTAGTTTTTGTAAGCAGGAACAGAAATGACATTGCAACTAAAAATGGGAAGCATTTTTACACATAAATAAAAGCAATTAGACAAGAACAGAGAATTCACTGATGCAGATATATCAGATATATCAGAAATGGAGGCATCTCTAAATCTTTACTCTCTACAAAATAATTACACACATGGGTCATGTTAAGGCTAGTGCGGGATTCCTTGTTTATTAGAACAAAACCTTTTTAAGACATTACTGACCCCACTCACAAACATGATTTCTGATGTCCTTGGAAATGTAAATTACCAGACATATTCATGCAAAAATCATTCGGTTTACAAAATTATATGAGGTTTAAAATAATGTGACTCATACAAAAAAACTCAGTCTCTTAAATACTAACTATAAGATATTATCCAAACTAAGTGTCTTCAGATCCAAAGATGCATGCTTAACAAAGAGGTTTGTTAAAAATAGGCATTGAGCAGATAATGTGTGGCAACTGCTCCACATGTTGAACAAAAACAAAAGTATAATTTCCATGGATGCAAACATGTGGCAGGATTCAGCAAGATCTTTGATTCAAAACCATAGACTTTGAAGTGAAATTTACTCAGTAGTACCATTTATTAATGCCCCTAAAGCTAATATTTACAATAATGTTTGTCAAACAATTTTCTGTCAAACATGTTATCTTTACTTTGTAGTAGCTTTGATCAGCTCATAATTTTCTTAACATAATTTTCTTCATTTTTCCAAACCTAATCGCTCCTCTTTCCTCATGTATTCATTTTTACCCTCTTTTGTTTGCTTTATACAGGTCAGAATAGCAGCCGATAACCCTGATAACTATTCCTGTTTTATGAGAACATCCTCCTGAAATTGGTGGAGAGTTCTGACCATGCATAATTCCTTTTCCATCGAAGCCTGGGTCATGACATTGAATGAATGTACTTTAGGTAAAGAATAACTATAGTGCCAGTTTGTAGCTACAACAAAATCTAAATGCTTAAGACTTTGTATGAAAACATGTGTATTTAATATAATCAGCACATATTACAGTATTAACTGCAGTCAGTTCTAAGCTGTATTACTGGGAAAATTGACTGTGGTCAAATTCCCATAGTCAAAATGATCTAACCTTGAATGACTTTAAACAAAGCTAAGATTTTCTCACGGTCAGACCCAATGCTTTTTCAATTTTAGCACTGTTAAACATACGTTTGTCTCTTTCGCAGTTTTTAAGTTAATGTGTTACGCACTACAGAGTCAGATACTACCAAAGGCCATGACACAGCAATTTGAGTTCACTAATTTAATAACAGAGGAGAGAGAATGAGGGAAAAGACGTCTGCTGATCCTGAATGTTGAGGAGGAACATCATGTTCTCGCTCAGCAGGTAAATGATGAGGAACCATTTAGTGCCCAAAGTACTACAATTCAGATAAACCTTTATATATGCCATCTTATGAATAAAACTGAAACTACATAAAATAAATTATAAAAATGAATTTTTTATAATTCATTTTATTACTTTAAATAAGTATTTACTTATTTAAAGTTAATACATATGGATAATTTTAAGAATTTTTTAAATGCACAGTAAAATAATTTAATTCACAAATCAGTTCTGAGCCTTTAATATAGCATTTAGTGTGCAGACCTCTGTTTGATTATTGATTTTAAGTAGCACAAAGTATCCAAAAATAATTTGGATAATAATAATAATTTAACATATAAGGAATTCACATTTTGATTTGATAACATAATTAATTATTTTATTTGAATACAAGATATGTTTAATTTAAAAAAAAAATGTTTTCCACATATATTTAGGTGGAAATTTATGAATTATTTTAAACATTGGGCTCCCTATGGCTCCTGATATTCTCGTACCTCATTTGAGAACTAAAAATTGTAATCTTTCAAGGAATAACACTCACGTTGTAGAGATTTTAAACCACTACTACATACTACATGATCACAAAAGAAAAATAAAGTAGAAATATTTTACAACAAATTGTACCAGTTTTAATCTGATACTTTTAAAAGTGCTGATATGTAATCTATTATTTTGTTTGTTCTGTTTATGTGATGATACATGGGCAAGCATCACTCTCTAGCTTTACCACTGTTCAAGTTGATAAGTCACTGGTGACCCTGTTTTATAGATCATAGTGAATCTGTGTTGACTTTTTCTCTCTTCTGTAGTCTTTCCATTGTGTATTGATTTGTATTTCATGTATATTTTGTTGTTTTTTAAATTTTTTAATCTTTGATACTTTATCTTCTAGTTTTTATACTTGCTGCAACATCAATTGCCCACTTTGGATACAAATAAATCTGAATCTGTTAGTTAGTTAGATTCCAAATGAAAGACTGACAGAGTGATTTTGAGCAGCTGATGCCTAAAGTCTGAAGTGCTGAATGGTCTAGTTGACATGTGTACTCCTTAAATCCCACAGGAAACATTACACTTGGCTTTAAATGTCTCTCTTATAACGACCTAACTCTGACCCATGCTCTGAGCAGATGCATCTACACGAGGTCCAAATGCTGCTTTTATCTGTGTCTGCATCATCTGCTGGTTAATGTCCTAAAAACAAATTTATTTCTGTCTTTCCTGTGTTTAAAGACAAACTGTCATTTAGCACTGAGACATATGTCTTCTGGTGTGCTTGTCTGTTCATTCTTGACAGCTTGGCAGATAAGAAAGGGAAAATATTTTCCCCTGTGAGAGAAAGCACTTATGAGGAGTGATTGTGTTTAAAAATGAGAAAAAAACTTATAACAGGATTGTATCTGAATTTTGCACGTGCTTATTCACACTAATATCTTGGGATCCTGCAACATATGTCCAAACTTTGGAACATTTGTTATTGAAGTAAAATGTCTCAATTGTTTTACAAATTTATAACAACAACAAATAAAGTGCTACATGTCATAAAATCCCCAGAGACTAAACAAACTGTGGGTGATTCACTGTACAAAGATGGGTGAAGGGATTAGCTATGGGCTTATATTAGTCTGAAAGGGTCAGACTGATTAGACTGGGGCCAGACAAAGTACTCTCCCCAAAATAAACATCTCCACTGGTGTTTGTCTTGCTATTTGTAGACACTCTAAATACAGACATGTCTGGAAAAAATAATTATTTCACATATTACAAAATATTTCATTTATTTTACACCAAATATTTCCTCCTATGAACTTAACAATGTTTTTTTTTTTAACTTTATTTTATTTTTGCGAGTCAAACTTTATTCAAAACCTTTAAATGCAAGAGTAGAAAGGAATGTTGCTGAGCTCAGTGCACCGCACAGCATTTTTTAGAAAAGATCTAGTTCACGTAAAAATGATCTAGACCACTGTTGTTGTCCCTGGTTTAACCTGGAAAAAGGATTAATATACAACAGATATTGCATTCACCATCAAGTTGTGAACATGTGTGTATATAATGTGTGCGGAAGGGTTAGGCTTAAGGGTTCAGCTGTGAGAATGGTGATTGGGGGTACCTCTTTACTTATGTGACTGATGTATTACACATCATTCAGAGGGGTAGATTATCATCCTATTAGTCTCAGTGTGACCATGTGTGTGTCTGGCACCGGGCTGATGAGCTGTGATCTATAAGCAAGCAGAGAAGTGAGCATATGGGGACTGGAATAGACCATTGGACAGGACAAAAGACTGTAGGGTGTCTGAGCTTTTTGTGCCTCTGCACTCTCTCTATTGTTAAGGTTTGGTATAATTATCCCATGTCCCACACATCCCCTTAGTTCTCTTTGCAGCAGATTTTAGCCTCGGGCCATATTTGACAGCGCAAGGCAGTGATCAAAACCCTTCTCTGAAAAAGACCAGCAAGGGAAAAAAAGAAGCAGAACCGAAACCAGTGCATTCATTCATTCATTCATTCATTCATTCATTCATTCATTCATTCATTCATTCATTCATTCATTCATTCATGTGTACTCCAATTAGATTCAAGTGACTTCTTATTGTGCTAACTTAACCTTTTCCTGGTGACAAGGATGTTGATTTAATAGGAATAAGTTAACAAACTTAACAATGGTCTCTTGTCAAAATGTGTCTGATTAATATTTGCTTTTACATTGTTGTATTTTACAAATAAAATCTTTGTTACTTTGAACATGATTTACTGTAAACAGCCAAAAATTTATCTGTTCTAAGGATTTCTTCACTTTACAAACTCACAGTGAAATCTTATCTACCAACAACATGTTATAAATTTATGGTGGGATTTGTTATTCCAGTAGATTCTTCATTATGATGCATGTGCAGACTTTCTCCTGTGCTTCTATTCTTTTGCTTCTCCTGGGTCTGCCTTGCAAAGCCGCCAATAGTAGAGGTGCTCACTTTGAAACCAGTCAAAGGTCTGTGTAATGCTTCTGTGCGCATCACTACCCCCAAAATTATGTATCAAATGTTGGACTGGGACTAGTCCTCACATTTTTCCCATGGTGGCCTAACATGGTTATTTATGTTTATACCATGTGCAGGTTTATTGTTTCAAAAATTAAAATAAAAATCCAACAGATCATGATGAGAGAGGCCCTGCTTCTCATCTTGAAGTGAAAGTGGATCTCAAGTTCTGCCAGATATACCTTTTCAGTGCTTTATGTAATATATGGTTCATACAAATATACAATTATGTCCATAATAAGATAATATATCTGTGTAAAATAAAGAGCTTCTTATCAAAGTGGTTCCTTGATGTATGAAAAGCAGAGAGTAGTTTACTTGTGTCATTTCTTTGTTCAACAGTGATAAATCCTGCACTTATTTTTCATGTAATGTCTCATCAACATTACATGATGATAATGACTGAACAGTAATACCTACAATCTGTAACTTTATGACATGTATATAGTTCCTGTGTAACTCTGAATTTATCCTACTCTTTAAGTTGTAAACCCTACAGTTAGGATGTCTTTCTGGTGCTCCCTGAAAATATCTTCTAGTTAATGAGTGAAATTAAATGATACATAATTCAGCTCAGTATCTCAGTTCCTTTGAAAATGATCAATTTGATCAATTTTAAGCTTTTGTAGTTCTACGGTTAGAATTTCTTTTCTCTCTGACTCATTTTTTCCCTCATTTTTAGTTGCTTCATTTGCCTTTTCTTGAAGAGAAAACTTCTCTCTCCAGCCTCCTTCCTCAGAGGGATCTCTTTTAGGTAACTCACTGAAATGGAGTGGGTCGACGTGTGAACTGAACCATATGCACCATTTTAAAAACGCAATACAAAACTACTTTTTTATTCCAGTCTTTATATTGGCTTCTCCCTCCAGAGTGTTCATTTGGCTGTTCTTAGGCATGCAGTGAACACCATCCAGAGCCAGGACGTAGGCTCAGTGTGAATGCGTACTGTAGACAGGATCAAGTCAGGAATGACATAAGTATCTAATTAAGCCAGTGCTATGAGGGTATAAATACAAAGTCAATATTGATCTGTCTGGACTAAAAAGATAAAGCAAAAAAAAAATCCAGCACCAAGGGGAGAGAACTGCTAATTGTCAGGAGAAAAATAACGAGGAACAGAAAAACAAATAAAGGGAACATTTGCAATTGACTCCAGATTGTGCATAAGCCAAAATGCACAAGGGATCATGCTGGAGTTTATGTAATTTAATTTCTTGATTGTATAATTTTGTTTCTTTAGGCTTTAAAGACAGGAAAGCTGAGAAAATACTCTTTATTCCCATGAAGGATGTATACTAGAATTAAAACAGACCTGTTTAAATAAAGAGCTCCGATTAACAACTTGCTACCCTTTGCGTTATTGTTGGAACGACTGCGCTGGAGCAGTGAAACAAATTTCTAACAGGAATGAGAGAATCTTTATTTATATGACTTCATCAAGCACAGGGAGACCTTTTTATTGAAGCCTCTGGGGTGTGTTCTTTGGTCTTGATCTCATTACGGCTCGTTTCACCTTAAAGGAAGAGGCCCGTAGCAATGACTCCATGTTCCCAAAATATCCAGATGAAAGATAAACCGTCCCCTCTTTGCTCCCAACCTCCGCCTCCCGTGTCTCCCCTCCCTCCTCTTGTCATTTTCTCTACATATCAAGCTCCCACACTCTTTTCTATAATCCATGTTTCCCCCCCTGTGTTGCCCCCTCAGTGCGTCGCTTTTTATACCTTAATCTCACCCTTCATTATTATCTCCTTTATTTCTCCTCCCCCTACTGAATCTCCTCCTCTTTTCTCCCCTCCCATACTCTACCCATTCTTCATCTCCCACCCTACCTCCTTTCTCTCCCCTCCTCCACCTTTCCCCTCCCACTGTCATTAACTATAGTATAAAAGAGCATTGCATCCCTCTGTGGCTTTCTCACACACGGTGGGATTGCTAGAAAGGGAGGAAGTGCAGGGGAAACTGGAAATTACGCCATCTTTAGTACCTGACTGGAGTTGTTGTCCTCTGTGGAATTCCCATTGAAGAGGTATGTTCCTTAAGTTTGTGCTACAATGACAACAAATAGTAATAAAATACAGATGTATAAATGTTTACCACATAAAGATCTTTTTTTAGGACGACTGGACATTTCTTATGTAAACAACTTAGCAACCTTCTGCAGAAAATGTGACTAATTCAATAAAAGCATTAAAATGTTAGAAAATAAACTATTCGATTTTAATCTATTTTAGATTAAATGATGTGAAATTAAATCTCAATATTACATTCTTCCATTGACATTTTTATCCAATGAATTTTTCATCTCAATTTTTTTATTTTTGTACCAAAATCAATTTTTTCTGTGATATCTCACAACTTAGCAGACCTTTTAAAATCAAGTGGTAATTATTTGATCTTTTGTATATTTCTTTTTTCCTGTTACCAGCATCTTTTCTTGTGATCAATACTAATTAGAGACCATGAGCGGGAACTACAGCGTCACTCTGTTGGGGCCGGCCCCTTGGGGTTTCAGGCTACAAGGAGGGAAGGACTTTAACATGCCCCTCACCATCTCCAGGGTAAGTAACAAACACAAACACAATTGAATTCAAAAGGGAAGACGCTCAAAAAGATGTGAGCAGGTGACAAAACAGTCTGCACTGCAATCTTATGTCATGCTTCAAGATTGTGTTAATATGCAATGCTATCAAAATGCAAAGGTAAAAAGCATTGCATTCTTAAAGTTCAGTCCCGCTCATTCATGTAAAACCATCCACCTCAGGGTAGTGGCTATGTAACCTGCCAGCCATCTTGAGGGGTTGATGGAAACTAATTTCTGTCCTTCAACTTCTTCACCTTTCCCTTACTGCTACCTTCGTCTTGAGGCTTATTGCCACACCAATGATGGCTGAAAACCTGAATCACATGCCATCTGTCATCTACTGACCACACAGGAAACTCGTTTTATCTTTCTTTTCATTCCCTTTCTTTTCAAGTGTCTATCGAAAGTGCAGCAATCAACGTTTTGGCACAAAAATCTTGGCTTGTCTCCTGGTGCTTGAAGAAGTAACTTGATGGTCCCTTGGTTTTATGTCTTAGTAGTGTAGCCTTTCTCTGACTGATGATCTTTCACACACCACACTCCCAGATCTGCTTCCCTCGTCCTTTTAGCTGGAACGAAATCCAGGAAGAAGATAATCCCTTTTTTGATGTTAGCAAAGCTTCTGTTTCGTTATGCTTGGAGCTTCCCAACAGCCACAGCAATTCTGACACAAATACACACAGTCACTGAAAAAGTTGCCTACACTGTAGTGCACGCATTTCTGGTTCCACTCATCTGATAATGAATGGTTTGGCAGATCCTGTGCCAATCTCCCTCAGGGCCATTTTGGGTTGCCATGTTTGTCTTATTAGTTTGGATGTTATACTTTTCCCTCTAAGCAAAGCCATGTGAATTTCTATCAAAGTTGTGTGTTTTGTGTATTTCTTTGTAAGTGTGTGCCAGAAGGCTGGAATCCAAACAAGGAGACAAGATTATGAAAGACACTTTCTGGAAAACTCAGAACAAACTACCAAAACATAATAAATAGAAAGAAAACAAAAATCACCCCACGAAAAAAACCCACTAAATATATGTCCTAAAACCAAGAATCATTAAAGCTTATAACTGTTATATAAATAGTATTTAAAAATATGTTATTTTCATATAAAAGCATGTTTTATCTTTTTATGGGTCCAAGAGAATTCTCATTCCCATGCAAAGTTGACAGTAAGTAAACTGTACCTGTCAGCAGTCTGCTGTTAGTCGACCTGAGACTACATTGAAACAGTTTATTAATGTGGTTTGAATGACCCACTTTCACAGCTTTTATGTGTGATGCAAGGTTCATAGACTGTATGATTTGACCCATCACAAATATATTGATGGTTTTATCTGTGCAGAAATGTGTTATTTCTTTGAAAAAAACCCTGCTATTGCTTTTAGAAAGTGTAAAGTGAATGCAATTTCCATTATTTATCAAGAACTGGCTTATTTTAATCAGAAATTCTCATATTAATTGCAAAACTAGGAGTCTGAGAAGTACATGTCAGACCACTTTTGGATTTGTTTGTAATAAATATGTCAGTATCAAAATGATAGGCACATGCAAAGCATACAGATATGCATACAATTTGTAAAAATTATTAAATTATGATAAAATTAAAGAAGCCGCTTTCCTTAAAAATGGAAAATTTACAAGAACAGGTTCTCATCTAACATTGTTAATATTTACAGTCAGCGTGCTAATTAACTATTCACCGCAACTGAAAAGAGAGGAATAAATAAAAGTTCTCCAAAGCTCACTAAACAGCTTTGTTCACTGAGAAAATGCTACTATGATGACAAAACAAAAACATTAATGTTTTGTATGTCTTTTTCTATGTGCTTATGAATGTGAAGAGAGGTCACATTTGTGTCCATGAAGGCATGAAAAATGTGCAGTTTAAGCAATTAAATAATTTATTGGTTGTAATACTAATCAACCAAAACTCTAAAGTACATGCCAAACAACCGGTACGAGACTAACTAACATTCTCATTAACGCCATTACTCATTTCTTTGAAAAACTTTGGTTTATAGTGATGTGTTCAATTTAAGTGCCTGCAGCTGGAAGTGTTTTTTTTTTCCTTCATCTTTTGTATATGACTACAGACTCTTAGCCTCAGAAGCCGATGACAGTTTGACTCCAAAGTAAAATGTCTCTCTAAAAATCATATTTAACAATCTCTTTTTCTTTCTTTACCATAATGTCCTGTTTTGTCTCTGTTTGTGTCTGCATTTTAGGTATCTTTTGCTTTTAACTTTATTATTCAAACTTCATGCAGGACTTGAGTCATTCCTCACAAACAACATTTTCAATCAAATACCAAGAGTCCAATCAACTCTAATCATCTCCATCTTATTAAATCAAGCTAATGATGGTGAAAACCCATTGTCTATGGCCACATACAGCCATGCAAACTTGCATACTCAAATTAAAAGGCACATTAGATCTCTGTCAGTCTAACCATAGTGTTGGTTCTTAGCAAAGACCACAGAGTAGGGGTTATTAGTGTATGGAGCGCTACTGCCAAACCACATATGCACCAACAGCTGCTGTTACTAATGCCCACACATAATATGTGAGCAAAGTATGCATTTTAGTCCTAGTGCAAGATGTGCATGAAGTGTAGTCATATTGCATCAGTGGGTCCAATAGCTACAACCATAAATGACTCGCGTTTTGAAGTAAATTGGCCTCACTTTCCCGTTCATCTTTTTATTTTTAACAACTTAATTTGGTAAAATTACTTGTGCTTCATGGTTAGATCCCAGTAAAACATGTTAAGCGTTTCCTCTGTTGAAGTTCTCCAGAAACAGAGAAGAAGAGAAGTATAGTTACATGATAGGTTCCAGTGTGTTACCCAAACAGGCATTATTAAAGACAACAATAATGCCTGTCCTCTTATTCAAAGAGAATTTCAGAAAGAACAAAGGGCATTGCGCCACAGTTAATGGAAGTTTAAATCTGCTGTATATGAGTCAGAAAGAACCAATAAGAACCAGGAGGAGGGCTATAGCACTGTCAATCATGATGTGTACATGCTGCTCACACAGTGCCCCTTGTTTTTGGTGCAAACTGTCAATCTTGAGCTGAAATATGCTGCTTACATTGAGAAAATCATAATTGACAGCACTGAGCTATTCCTCCTTGCTTTGATTGGTTGTTTCTGACTTTGAAAGGAATAAAGAGACTTGTTGTGATGCGATATCATAAGGATTTTTCTTACTTCAAGTCAAAGTAAATCTTGCAATGTATGTGTTTTTGGTCCAAAAGAAAAACAGGCCACCTAATTATATTTCACTGAAATCACCTTTGGATAAAACTATCTGGCAAACCACCATTGAACAATTTAGTTGAAGTCCATTAGTCTCAAACGTTTTCTTTTACAAGGCATAGTTTCCCAACATGCAGAAGAGTGTGTGCAGCATTATTTAAAGTTAAATGGATGAAAAAGTGAATCAATATATAAATCTCTCTAATGGAAGCCCATTTGCACTTTCCACTGCAAAAATAGGTTTAAAGGCAAGTAACCCATGGGAGAAGATGCATTAGACTTCTAAGAATAGTACATGTTTTATGATCCCTCTGTCCAACAAGATTGTCTGTACAACTGCACCAGTATCTTCTGAGACTATATATTAGGTGTATTTTATGGTATATTGAAACTAATCAAAATTTGTAGAAGGCAAGACATTATATATGTCATTTGAAATAAAATACATAGTTTTTCTGCTAATTTCTTTGAACATCTGTAAATGTGAAATTTGGCCATTTGGTGGTCTATAAATGAAGAATGTTTTATTTGAATAAAACCTAGATTATTGGACCTTTTGGGTGGAGAGGATACCAAAGTGTTATCTATAAAAACACATCCATGGAAGAAAGGAGTTCCCAAAGCAGAGACAGATGCTTCCTGCTTCCCCAGAGATGGGAAAGCAGGAACGTTGGGTTCATATCAGACTGTTCTCCTATAGTCCTTCTTCTAATATCAGTCTCCCTTATTTTAATATATTTTGAACTTTCTACAAATGAACAACTTCATTTATCTTTTTTTTCTTGCAAATCGACCTGTCAATATTTTCATATGTGTATTAAAGTGACATTGCATAAATTGTGGACAATCAAATTTGGGTTAATTTTTCAGCCATCCTTATGATTCTCAATAGTACTGTTGAATTGAATCAGCATCCCAGACTGGCATTTTTTTATGATGGGTATTTGTTTTATTTTTATCTTTACTTTTTTTTTAATTGACCATCTTGAATTTTTTCTTTGCAATCTCAGAAAGTCCTGGCCACAGGAATCCTGACCAAAATTAGTCAGATTTATAATACACATGGTTTTTAAAACAACACAAAATCTAAGTCTATCCTATAGCAATGAAAAAATGTTAAGATGTTTTTTTTTATTAAGTTGGTGTCATCATGGTTACCTTTAATGTTTTTTTAATGACACATATTTTTGTCTCTTTGAATGTCTCACAGCATTCCTTTTCAAGTCACCAACAAATGAAAGAAAACACTGAATATCACATTACAACCATTATAACACAAGTAACCATTTTTAACTCTAGCGACACATGTTTTTAAGGACTGTTATTTCAATTTAATGAATAGAATCCTCTCAGGCCAGAGAACCTTTACAACCCTGGCAAGAACAATGCAACAGAGTCATAACACACTCTAGTAAATTCACAGTGTAGAGGACAGTGTAACCTTTTGTTAAATTGTGCTATAATGGATTTTCCACAGAAGCTGTTAATCCCGTTATGTCTCCTCAGCCTTTCTCCCAGGATGGCTGCCTGGCCTCATCATGTTTGTTCCTAACAGTGGATTCCAAGGGCTCATAAGAACGGAAGCAACAGAAAATGGTTTAGTTTTAAATTAGTAACTTTTCTTCTTATTTTTTGTCAATTAAATGCAATTTCATGCCTCTTAATTACTGCCATAAAAGTGAAACCAAGTGATAATCGAAATGAGATTTATTGCTCCAGC